TTCGCTTAAAAATTAAAGTTCAAACTTATATTTATGCATATGAGCCATAATCATGGAGTTTTATATATATATATATAAATGGTATTTTTTTTTTTTTTTTTTTTAGAAAAAACTTTATTTCAAGTATGGTAATTAATTATCGTCATCTCCTTGAAGTTTCAAGACCCCTTTACAGCATGAGTTGGAAGGCACTGTTGGCGGTCTGATTGCAGTCACATGGAAACCAGATTCTAAGAGATGCCTGCTCCATAAAATTGGAACAGTATGAAGCAATTGTAGCCATGGCTTTAAGCTCTCAAACCAGAAAGAGCTGAGAGAGAAGAAAGAAGATACCTGCTAGCTAGGAGGGCCTTCTGTTAACTCCCTACAGTAAGAGATATAATTGGACTTGAGATTCGGATTCCAGTAAGAGCATGAAAGTCTTGAACCTGGTTCCAAATAGCCCTTCTACGCCATGTTTCCTATTTTGCACCAAACATTATATACCAAGTTAGGGCAATGAAAAGTTTGATATGTTTTAGCTTCAAAAGCTAATATGAGAATATGTTTTAGGTTGTTATATTTCAAATATGTTCATCAAAAGGAAAATCCTATGAAGACCAATTAAATTTATGAATCTATAATGACTTAGAGCGGATTCAATTAATATCGTGGGGTATTGTAATGGTATGAAGTTGAAATCAAAGAATAATGTGTAACGGAATAAATGTCTAAGTGTAGTGGTAATTAAAGTCATGAGTAATGTAAAGTGTTAAACTTATACTAATAGTAATAAATTTTTAGGTCTAAATTTTATATTTACTACTTCATTTTAGAGTAAACGACATGTTTCCACCCAAGGTTTGACGAAATCCCAAGTTAGTATCACTGGTTTCATTTATTCCAGATTCTCACCCTTAAAGTAACGGTGTTATGAATTTTTAGGGTTTAGAGGGTGCAATTACCATAATGCCCTTAACCCTAAATTAATAAATTATGTTTTAACCCCTAAATTAGTAAATTAGTAGAATTACAAAACTTACCATTTTATCAAAAACACCCTCGGTCACTATACACCCTCGCCGGAAACAGCCCGATTTGGGCTGTTTCCGACGACGTCAAACCCCCTGGTCACCTCCATCACCTTCCCTGTAGTCCGTCATCCAAAACCCCTCTGGTTCCCGACTCATTTGCCCCTCCAATTGCCGGCACTGTTAGGCTTAGGGTTTTGGTGTTCTTTACAGGATTCCGATCGATTCCGGCAGTGAAAATCCAATTGGACACCACCAATGCAACCACCGTCCCCAAATCTATAAAACCCTATGTCCCCAGCAACCGTTTCGTCGTCATTTGCCGGCCGAGAGTTCGTGTTCATCGACCGTTTTTCGTTGTCGTGGCCAGAGATCGGCGAGTGATGAGGGGTTGTGAATGGTATGGTTTTGTAGAGGGGAGGATTGGAGTTCAAATGGTGGTGACAAGGGTGATTTTGGGTGGAAGAATTGCTGGAAAAAAACGAAAAACGTCTGGAACGACGGCTGCTAATGTGCGCCGGAGGACTGTTAGAGGCGGTGGTCTGCTAACGTGTGTCGCCCATGTAAAATGAACAATTTACCCCTTTACCGTTACATCAAACGTTTTTCCGTCACTTTAAGGGTGAGAATCTGGAATAAATGAAACGAGTGGTACTAACTTGGGATTTCGTCAAACCTTGGGTGGGAATATGTTGTTTACTCCTTCCTTTTATAATAAATAGTATAATTTAATATAATTTTCTAATTAATGTTTTTAAAACTTTTCCTTTTATAAAAATTTAACATTTTATTCTCTTTTATGGAAAATAAAAGAGTTACTTTCCAAAGTTTTTTTCTTCATAATATCATTCAAAACTATACATAGTATTAATATAATCATTCTCTAATGTGAATGTGGTAAATCTTAAGACATTCCTACTTAATAATATACAAATATATTATATATTAGTTGTCAAATCTAAAAATATTTGAAATATAACAAAGTAAAACATACCCGTGCGGGTTTTAACCCTATTTACATAAATACTATCACATTAACTTCAATAACAATTAATAAAAAAACACTACTTATTTACTAAATATATTTTATCACACAAAGCAACAATAATTAAAATAAAATTCTATAAACATACCCGTGCAACGCACGGGCTTTAACCCTAGTAAACCTATAAGATAAAAGATAAATTTTAAGAGCTCTAAATTATTGCATTTATAACTAATAATATTTTTGTAAGAATTGGTTCCCAGAAATGAAATTAATAATAATTTCCTTGAGTTTGCAGTAATAAGAAGAATCTCCCTTCTGTTAAGTTTTATTTGTTAAAAGAAATGGAAAGATGACAAATATTTATGTTCACTCATGGTAGAGTAAAATTTAACAGTTCATTAACAACACAGGGGGGTTTATGTCTTTTTCTGAAACCCTCAGATGGAATGTTAATTAACTAAACCTCAGGGCCAGATGAAGAATAAAAATAAGAGAGAGAGAGAGAGAGAGAGAGAGAGAGAGAGAGAGAGAGGAATCGGCCCATTGGAGTAGGACCTTGGCTTCCCTTCGATGTGGGTTTAGGAAATCAGCCCAACACACAACTCTGGAGAAACTCCTCTCTTTCGTAACAAGATGATTAAACCCATCAACTCATAAAGAAGTATTTCTTGTAATATTTACTCCCTCTTCCGTTTTCTTTCAGTACTAAATTTTCAAAATACAAGAACAACTAATATCCACAACATCTTTTTTTTTTTTTTTTTTTTTTTTTTATGTTGAACGAAGGTGTCTAGGTCAACTTACGTGTATTTCAACTAATCTTTTCAGACCTGAAGTTGACAACCGAGTAAATCCTCTCAGTGGTCACCCCTATTAGGGTCTGTGGAGACTTGAACTATTAATTAAGAAGAATAATACTAGTCTCACTAACACCTCTCACTAACCCCATGTGATAACTTGCGGGACCCATACGAGTTGACCAATTGTAAGCCAACATGTAACGTTTGTGAGAGAAAGTTAATGAGAAGTGTTTGTGAGTGTAGTGTCTGATTGTTAGTATCCACGATACCCAATACGTATCATACGATATGATTCGATACAAGTTGCCAACGATACGTATCAGAAAGTGTATCATAAACCTTTCGATACGTTGATATGTATTTTACGATACGATATGATATATATCCGTTCATATCCTTAAAAATATCGATATAAATCAATACAACTTTATTAATTTGGGCCAAAGGCTCAAAAAAAAATACGGTTCGAAACCAGATCACCCAACCCGATTCACTAAAACCTATTCAAATTTACCTATTTTGTATGGAGAAAGTGAATAGGAATATGTGTTACTCATTTTACATAATAATAATAATATAAGTAGAGATATAGATATTGACATTGATCTTGGAAATGATATGAATGGTTGAGAAAAAATATTATAAATTCTTAATTTTGATTACGTAATACTATAATTTAAAGCTAATAATACCACAAAATTATTTAATTAATCTTGGGAACGATATTAATTTTTAGAAAATTTTGATTATTTTATTAATTTTTTTGAAAAAAGTGTATTCTACGATATGATATACGATTCAAAAAATTAAGCTTTCGATATAAGATATGATACGCTATTGACAATCATGGTGTAGTGTTACTCAATTAAGAATTTAGTAAATTTACAATTATCAAATCTTGGTCGTCCATGGAATCTAGCAGAAATCAGACAACCACATTCATCAATTTAATATGAAAGAGAGAAGCTTGAATTATAAATTATATAATAATCCTCCCCATATGAACACAGTTTGTTTCTAATTAGTAATGATTAATTAACTAGAAATTATCTCCACTAATCTCACAATAAGTCAAAATGCACAGCCCCCATCATTTCAATTTTAAATTAAATACTGTCTCTGTCTGGACCATTAGACGTGGTCCAGTAGGAAAATTTGTCTGCTTTCGAATTACATTTAATATTAGATTTAGGTACGATTAACAATATGTTTTAAGTAATGATGTAATTGGAGGAATATTAGAGGATTATAATTAGTTTTTTTGGGTAGTAAGTGTAAATCATCATTATTATATATTATATGGGCCCTTGCCTACTGATTTTGTTTTCTTCTTTAAATTTCTAATTTATAAAAATTAATAAATAAATAAAATAGCTTTATATGAATACCCTATTCCACAAGGGTTCAACATTTTATTTGAAATAATTAAAAAGCATTTACATGTCTAATAAATAGTTTTTTTATGAAGCGTTAACCCCAAGAGGGGTAGCTTTTGACTGTTAAAAGGTATGTGTTCTTCTTTAGCTTATAGAGTGTTCAATAGATCTCGAAGATTAGTTAAAGTACATGCAAACTAACCCAAACACTTCGATACCAAAAAATAAAACACCATTGTAGAACCATTTAACATTATTTCTTATATATTTACTTATTAAAAAACAATACCCATAATTTTTTTTTTTTAATTTAAATTATCTATTTTAAAAATTTTATAAGCTTTGACCCAATGGGCCAATGAAAAAGACAAAAAGGGTTTAATTTGTTGCATTTGTGCTTTTTTCCTAGAAAATTTGTCAAAGTATTTGGTGCCCGAAACTGGCTCTTTTTAATGGATTAGAATTAGATGCCCAGACAAGTAGATAACGAGAGGAAAAGAACAAAGAAAAGAAAAGCCAAATGCATGTGAGGTTGCATAAAAAAACCATTATTAAATAGCAGGATCAATTATTCTTGGATCATTTATACCTATTAACAACCACTATCCATAATTTCTTTTCATTACCAAACCAAAATTCTTGCCTTTAAACAATCATTTATCCAGCCTCCTCCTCAACCCACCTAAAAGTAAACAAAAAATCAAATACATCTAATTTTACCCTAATCTGTTTTTGAATTCTCTTCTAGTGGAAAGTGTAGTTACATGATGTGAGACATCAGTAAGCATTAAAGTCACAAAAAAACTGCATAATAAGTATAGCAATCCATTTCACAAGAATGGATTTCAATTTCATTTACTATCAAGAGTTGTTGTATAAGTGAAAGTAAAAAAGAGAGATGATGAAAAGAGAGATTAATGATGGAGGATGATTGAAAGTGAGAAGATTCTTGTATAAAGAGAGTTGTGTTTTCAGTACTAATCATTATACTTATTCCTTTTGAACAAGAAGATAAGTGGAGAGAACAATGAAACCATACCATACGATTGAAAAAGCTCTCCTTTCTGGTTGGTGAGCAGTCAACATTACTGACCTTGCCGACAGGATCCTTCCTGCATATCTCCACCAAATTGAGTAGCCAAGGTAAATACAAACTCTACTAATAAACTTGACTATAAAAAGTGAGAATCCAATTCGTTTTCACATTTAACTCAATAAGGTTATTTCACTTTTACTGAAGAGAAAAAAGGTGGGTGAGCGAATTTAAGCCCATGCATGGAGAGAGAATGAAGGAGGGGGTAGGGGGTCCAAAGCTCAAACTGTTTTATGGGGTCTCCTATGATAAGAGAAAATGATGGAGTATGATTTTTCAACCAAAAGAAAGAAAGAAAGAAAGAAAAGAAAAAGGAAATCTACCAAAACTACCATTAAAGGTCTAACACCAAACATGATGAGCATCTGAAAACTAGAGCACTGTTTTACTACTACTGGAACATAATAATAGCAACCAACTAATTATCCCATATGCTATTTTGTCACCCATCTGTAATTTTCAGTCATAGTTCCCTCTTCCATTTGACAATGTTTCCATCTTCATGGATTATTTGTAACATGGGCAGTAGAATTTAATGTTTCACCTGCCATAAACTGCATTTCATGCATTCCACCAACAAAGTTCTGCAAGTGATAGGAAAAGGAAAGAGAGCAAATCATTCCATGCATGTGCTTTTTTTACTTTTTTATTTTTATTTTTTTCTGTTCTTATATGTTTTGAGTTTCGATGACTCTGTTGGGGATAGCAGGGAGAAAAGGATCAAGGGACATATTAGATGCTTACTGGTCAATACCACAACCTATATTGTGTTTTCAGCATTGTGTATAACATGTAATGTTTAACATTGTCCCAACCACATTAGTTCAACAGCCAGTCTAAATCTTTTAGCAAACCATTATTATTATTGACTCAAAAGATCTCAATTTTAGAGTAGAACATTGGCCCTAGATCTTGGATGAGGATAAAAATGCTTCAATGTGTATACACATAACCACATGACAAGCCAAAAAGTTAACTACATTTGACATAAAGAAGTCATCACCATTGTAACCACCAACCTGCTGAGTTATAGTCAACAACACTTGCTGAAATGTAGAACCTGCTAACACGTTCAAAGTTGCTGCAATATACCTATCAGCCATCGTATGTGCCTCCTTATGCCGACAAGCCTCCTTGCTTCTGTTTTGCTCAATACTTTTTTGGTAATCATGGCTACTCTAACGGACAGCTCTCCACGGTTTAATTTTCAACCTTGACATCAAAATTTTGAAAAAGGTCCCATCAACAATGTAAGAATGTCACAATAATTTGCACTGTTTAAAAAAGAAGCCACTGGATTTGATGCATTATAAGCCTAGCAAAAACAATAAACAAATAGATAAATAGTGAGAGAAAAAGAAATGATGGGAAAGAAGGCCCCTTTGTCCTCACTTTTCTTTGACTATGACAATTAAAGCACTGAGATGGACATCCACTCCTCACGGTGGGGCTCCACATTTTTAGAAACAGACACCTTAGGTGATTCAGCTGACTCATATCACCAAGAAGTGCAGCTTCGGCAACAAAGATCTGCTCTCCATTTCTTCCGAGGTTGACCCATGTCAAGACCCAAGTCTGATTTGCCATTTTCCCGACCGGTTCAAGCAATCCCTGGTCTGCAGCAAAAATATTGTATCACATATTTCAGAACAAAACTATTTTGTGTCTTTTTTCAACATCTTCTACCAAGAATTAATCTTATAACAGTGGCCATTCCAGCCCAAACATATACTGGTCTCTTGCTTCTGTCACCAAACAGTCAAATATGCAACATGACAAATTTCAGCATATTCTGTTCCTTTCAATGTTGTAATAAAAAGTTCACCAACTATATAAAGATTCTACTTTATTTTTTACTTAAATATCGTTTGAACACAGATTATAAGGTTTTTTTATGTTAGTTACATATGCTCTCTGTAGAAATCAGAGAAAGAAAAAAGATAAATACCAAAAAGATGAAAGAGTTAAAGAGTACAATAGTTATGAAAAAGGATAATCTCGAACTAGAGTATTAGTTTTTAGTCAAGAATGTTGGATCATGAATTTGAAATGGTTCATGCCTGTCTTCAACACTTTTATATTGGGTTTTAATAGTTATGACAGATGTTGGGTGAGTCACAGTCTCTAGGTACTGAATTCCTCTAATTCTGAATCTGAGGACATTAGGACATGGTTCAACAGGCTACAGTGTAAAATTGTCAGATAGAAACCTAGGTGTTGTAATGTATAAAAAGTGTGATGTAGGCGCCTATACAGAAATAGTCTAAGAGAAAAATTAGGGATGCCTTCTCCATAGTCAGGCAAGCTCTTCTGCTATCTGCTCTAAAACTTCTTGAGAACATATACTATAATCTTGTTCCATATTTTGCCAAAGAAGTATTTCGTGTATTGAAGTGTGAGTATAGCATGGAATAACAAAACTCCCTCTAATCAAAGAGTTTTACAATAGACATTTCAAGCAAAGCATTTAAACATTTTGTCTCGGGGTCATAAGATGACTAGAGCAAACTTCCTAATATAAGCAAAAACTGAGGATTGTATGAGAACTATTACAATTGACAGGGAAAAAGTTACATTTTCCTCTTTGGCCGAGACTCAGAATATGTAGCAAGATAAAAGGCAGTGGATGATTGTGCTCATGATATAACTAGCCGTGCCCTCGTTGTTGAGATCAAATGATCACTTGCATAATAAGTTATATCCTCATTTATCAAGAAATGCAAGTGAAAATTTAATTACAAGTTAGGTGGGAGTAAAATGAAGGTAATAACTTCAAACTGGAAAAGTGTCATTAAGCCACAACTAGGTCTTTTGAAAAACTTTCACAAATGAAGAATATCAACCTACACTTGCACTTATGCTCTCACTACATGTTATCACATCACATAATGTCTTTTTTTTATTACATCACAAAATCATGTAAAACCACAAGAGATTTGACCATCTATATTAGTTGGTATCCTTTTAAAATCACTGATGTGATGCATAATGGTATTAGTTTGAAAGAAAATTTCTTAAAATGAGTATTACATGAAAAAAATGATATCTAGAACCTCCCCGGGGATGAATAAGTTCAGCCCTTATTATGTCTTCAACATCCAACCATCTGCTGCTCTTAATTTAGCTAATTTTACCTTTTGGTTTATATCATTTTCCCTAATCTCTTTCTATTGATCCAGACAATTGTACATGCATCTCTGCCAGTCACCATTTTGGACAGAAAAACTAGTAATAAAGTTCTGTTCTTTTCAGAGTAGCATACGTTTAGCAACATGTCCACGTTGATTCGTGCTTGAGTCTATTATTCCATTGATAGTCTTCAACAAATGAAAAATTACTCACCAATTCAAAAAACGTAAGCAGTGAAATTTATCAGGAAGGCATCTACCAGCAGATTGTAGAAGATGACCTTATAATGTCTATTCACAAGAACAGTATAGATATTAGACACACAAAGGAATGTAAAAGCAGTAATAAATGTCAGACAAAGTCAGTAAAACATTCATTCTGGTTAGTATTTACAAAAAAACATTGATTTTGAACTCATAAACATGAAATATTAACAAAAATTAGGATATAATAAAATATATCTCTATTATTCTACCACAAAGTTCAACATCCTTCCTGTTATGATCAGAGCCTTTTTAATGTTATGTTTATAAACAAGGAAGGGTCTCTTCCCTACAAACTGTGCTGCAGGAGATGTCAAATCCCTTCCTATATATATATATATCTGTGCCAGCAATAACTCTCTAAATCTTCGACTATGTAAAGATGGACAAGAGAAGAGCAGTGGAAAAATAATTCAATAAATCCTACAGCTTCATAAGTTTACAGGAGTTAAAAAGAAAAACATTACATTGATGAAGCATCAGCAAAGACTTCGTTGAGCATGTCATCCTCACAGCCTGATGTAGCAAAGAGCTCTGCATCCTTTTCTTCCTCATTAGAGAAATCCCGTCTTTCAAGCTTGGCATGAGCTGCAACAAATATCATCTTCTGAGCCCTTTCAAGGCCCACACGTGAGTGTCTATGCACACAAACCCACTTCGTAAAGGACCAATTACATTTAAACCCAGATGAGGTTGCATGTAGGAAAATTAACCTCACTGCAACTTTCCCTAACGATTTGTACTCACTAAGGCAAGTTTCCCAGACAAGCCTACTGCTCTGGGGATTTGCAATTTTCATCTTTCCGGTTATAGGATCTCTCTGCTTAACCTGGACAGCCTGAGCATAGAGTGGGTCCAGCCCTTCTGATCTCCATTTCATGAGCTCCATCAATGCGAGATGAGCTTCTTCCCTTGAAACAAGCCGGGTTATGAGCTTATCCACATCCTTTTCCTGCTCTTGTGTCAAGCATTTGAACGGGGGAAGGTATTTTCCGCTATTGTCCCTCACCAAGTAAAGAGGGTCAAGAATAAAAGCAGCCGACCATGCTGGATGATAGTTTTTTCTAAATCTTTTTTCAACTATTTTCTCAACAGGTCCTTCGCAGATACCAAATTTGGCACACCAATTCTTGACTTTTGATTTCAACTCCTCCCAAAGAGGGAGGCATTGTCCAATTAACGGTCTCTCAGCCTCAATCTCTTGAGTCATCCCTTTGATGAGCTTCACAAGGGAATAAACAGCTTCCAGTTCATTCCAAAACACCTCACTTTGAATCATTGCAACAACTTCCCTAGCAACTGGATCCTCCATGCAACTTAACTTAAACGACTCATCCAACACAACCATTTGAAGCACACGGGCAGAACTTAATATATCCTCCAACATTGCAAAAACAGGTACAAAGTTGTTTTCACAATCACATTTGTTTGAAGGAACTCGAATCAAACCAACATACTCAAGCTCCAACATCTTGTACTTCCGTAAACTATTCCTAATCTGCGATTTATTATTTACAAAATTCGCAATCCTCAAGCAATTCTCAGTAACAGTCCTAAACACCGGAAGGTCTTTGCTAAAATCTTTAATCAAACTAACAAACCCCTGAAGCTGGCATGAGAGATTAACCATCCACTGATTCTGAATCTCTAAATTCCTCAATGCCTTAGCCTTATACTTATCAGCAACTATCCCTACACATCTCTGAACACCACTCCCACATATTCCAGTCACCGTCTCCCATAAAATCTCTTCTGCATACTTAGACGAAACTAATCCTCCAGTAATGACAGCCTTTTGGTACACACTAGTCCCATTAGGTAAATTAACAGTAAACTTAACTAAATTATCTTCACCTCCACAACTCTTAATCTTCCACCCATCAGAAGCAAGTTGAAAAAACATAGCCTCCCTAATTCGAGCTTCTGACTCAGTTTTAGCCTCAACAAACTTGCTATCAAGTCGAGCTTCCAAAACCTCCCTACGGGACACGAATGGCAAACCCACTTGATTGAGGAAAGCCTTGAACTTAGGATGGTCGAGACTCGAAAATGAAACTGACCCACACGAATCATAAAACCAATCAGCTAATAATTCAACAGCTGAATCAATCTGGTCCTTGCTTAGGACAGGACCAGGCCTAGTTTTAGGACTCTTTAGCTTCTTGACACTATCTTCCAACATTGCTAACGCTCCCAAGTCTTCTTTTCCACCAGATAGAACCAAATGTTGCTGAGTCTGCCCCGCATTACTCGGAGAATAACTCAGTTCATTACAACCACGAGTTGACTCAACTATCGCTAGTGAATTGCTGTTGCTAAGTTGGTGATAATGAGAAGAGTTACCTGTTTCTGATTGGTTCTTACTTCGCTTTCTGTTAATGTTGTTACTATTATTGTTCATAGAATTGTTATTAACATGAACAACAGAAGGCGAAGCCAAGGAAGATAACGGTAACGGAGAGAGAGAATGGTTGGTTCTCAAAACGGCACTGAAATTGGGGCAGGTGCCGCGTTTAAGGTGTTCGGAGGCCGTCCTTGAAGGGTTAGACGCAGAGAAAACGGCGTCGCATAACGAACACTTGAGTTTGACAGCTTTAGAGATATTTGTGTCCGGGTTCTTAATAAGGATGGGCTCTAGGTGAGCCCAGTACCACGCTCCTTTCCCTTTTATAGCCTTGGTTCGGACCATCATCAGACCTTCGAATCGCTTGTTCACGGCCTTCGCTGCAACGTCGTCGTTTGTCGAAGATGACGGGTCAGCTGGCGGCAGTAGCGGTGGTGGCGGTTGTGGAGGTGGTGGCGCTGGTGAGCTTGTTGAAGCCATAATTTTTTTAAAAAAATATTAAAAAAAAAAAAAAAAACAAGAAAAAAACAAAAACTAGGCAGCTTTTGGATGTGATTTACTAATCACTTTGAAGGGGTGTGAAAGTGAAAGTGGTTTTTGCTCTTCATAAGTGTGATCAACCAAACAAAAAAAAACTGAAAGTGAATTGAATTGAGAGTTTTTGCAGAGGAAATGCGTGAGTGTGAGAGGTGTTTGTGGAATTGTTTTAGCTTAAGTTGACGTTAAAGACTTGAAGGAGAGAGAGAGAGAGAACAAAGGTGCTATGTTTTGTTTGATTATACTCGTGGCTAATTATTATATAATAAGATCAAAAAGCTGAATATATTTTTCTCTTTTCTACTGTTAATTTATTATACAGTAATAATTAATAATAATAATAATAATATTTATAGGTTATTTCATGAACATTTTTAGCTATTATTTATATTTTCCATATTATAACAAAAACAGCAATTCAGAATCTTAATTTTTAACTCATTGACAACTTGAATGTTTCTTTTTATGAATCCGTTTTCTGTATTTCAAATTATTAATAATGATTAGAAATACGAAAATTAAAAACATATTTGTCTGAAAAAAAAAAATTTAAAATATGGCTTATACCAGAGAGACAATTAAGATAATCGAAGTATATTCAAGAGATATATTTGAGAGGGTAAGAGACACATCTAAGAGAAATTCAATTTAATAGTATTAGATTGTATTGAGTTTTTTTTTTTTTTTTTTTTTGTTGACCGAAGGTGTCTGGACGAGCTTACGAGTACTTGAACTAATCTTCTGGAGCCCTGAAGTTAACAACCGAGTAAATCCCCTCAGTAGCCACCTTTATTAGCGTTTATGAAGACTCGAACTCGGACACTCAAATTGGATCTCTTTACTCTTTTACTACCTGATCATCTAATGGTGGTTAGATTGTATTAAGTTGTTCTATTTGTAATTTTGTAATAAAAATATTGATTTAAAATTAAATATCGATTTTATGAGAGAAGAGGAGTAAGATAAAAAGAAAAGGAGAAAAAATAAGTTTATAAATGAATATAAGAAACTAATTGAAAGTATTAAAAAAAATAATAATAATAATAATAAAAATAAATGATGGTTAATTAATGACAAGATTTATGCAATTATGATATAGGAGGGTTGCTTATATTGGGAGTAAACGGGAGAACAAGTGAAGAGGGATGGCGTGATTATTGCATAGAATATTGAAAATGGAAGCTTAACCCATGACTTGATTTGGGTATAATTCTTATTTCAAAATAACTATTTGTTATAATGTTTAATGATGATTACACTTAAAAATGGTGTAGAGAGAAATGATGGAGAGAATTAAAAAGCATAATTGGATGTAACTAAAAGTAATTAAAATAAGTGGAACTAGGCCTTAACTATTTGATGGTGATGCCTAAATCATACTATATGGTTTGGTGAAGTGGTTACAACATAATAATACTATTATATCACCCTTCTCCAATCTCCCCCTCTTTTTCTCTAACAATCTCTAAATCCACATAAATTATATTTATTTTTTTTTATTATTTTTTTTTTTTATCAAAGGTATCCGAACAAGTTTATGTGTCTCTTTTTCTCTAACAATAATTCACTTCACTAATCCTTAAGGACCTTAAAATCACAGGCTGGATAAGAGCTCCAATGACTATCCCTATTAACAATTGAGGGTCACGTATATATATTCGGGGGTCCCGTCGACATAGGCAATTTTGACCTTTTCCATTAAGAGTAATTGCAAGATTTCTCTAAGTTATTAATTCATTATTAGGCTTGGACTTGAGCTTAGAAATAGAAGTTTTTGTAATATTATATTTTAGTCTTTTAAACCTAATATATAAACATACATTTTCTCTTGTGTGAGTAATAGAAAATCATAAGATAAATTACATTCATTGTAAACAAGAGAGGTGGGACAATATTGCAATAATATTGACTCTACTGGACAGAACCTGTTAATTTAGTGAATCAGGGTAAATCACAAGTATTTTTTTTTCTCTTAACTATCTGTGGTTTACTATTTTTTGTTTCATATTACTCTCTATTCTTTCAAGAGAATATACCCAAGAGTTTTTATTGAATTACTCGACCAACTTGAAATACTTAATTATATTTGATCTTCTTTTACTGTGAAGCGAATTATTGAGCAAACAGTTTTGTTGTTTTTGAATGAAAATTTAAAGGAGAAAGATGATTGCCAGTATCTATAAACAGTTGAAAAAAATCTAAATAAACAAAACAAATATTATAATAATATATAAAATAAAAATAAATAATGGTAATGATGAATTACCAGAATAATGGAAACAAGAATCCATGAACTTTTTAATAAAACCTGAAAATTGATACAAAAATACAAAGTACAGGCAGGTATATGTGATTGTGGGGTGTGATCAAAAGTCAAAAAAGTGATTTTGTAACGATGACAAGTGATTGGTATTTTCACCTAAAGCTAACCAAATTGGTGCTGTGTTGTCTTCCTGTCTGACCCCTCAACTTTCATAAATTTACACTTTAATGCCCTTCATTTCACTTTCATTATGAGTGAGAAAATTTTCTCTAATCATTTTAAAGTTTGAAGGGTTGAGTCCATGGAGGACCCATTCCACTTTTATCTTCTCATTATAATGCCAAAGATTCCCAACATTCAAATTCTAGGCATTTCTATTCATTTACCTCCTCTCTTTTTCTCTAAAATTGACTGTTGTAAATGTATTTGTCGGTCTTTTCACAAATCAAGATTACTTGATTACGTTAAGAGAGAAATTTGTGTTTGAAATTTAATAAAGTGAAGTTGAAGAAAGAAATTTAAGTAGACGTGTTGTTTTTATGTCGTGGTGTTTAGGACACTTTACATGCGTTTCAATTAATTTCTTAGGATCCTGAAACTATCAATTGAGTGAAAACTTTAGTGACTATCCTATTAGTATTAGCATCTAAGGAGAGACTCGAACTCAAGAGGGGTTAATTTCATTTACCTCAATATTTAAAAAAAAAAAAACTTTTTATCAAGGGTTTTTCTGTTTTTGATATTTTATAAAAGGTTTTGTGATATTCTTAAGGGTAAGGGTGGAATTAGAATTTAATTTTTAGGAGGGCCGGCAACAATTTGAAGTATGAATTAAAAAACAAAAAATTATGAATAAATCTCATTAAAAAAAAGAAAATATTTAATATTACGAGTTTTGTCAATGAAGACAACACCCTTATAATAAATTAAATTTATAATAATCTTGTTGAAAAGAGAATAGGGTATGAAAACAAAAGAAAAATAAAATGGTATAAAATGCTAGCAAAAACGTGTTGAAAAAAAAAAAAAAAAAAAAAAGAACTAATGTTTTCTTTTTGATGACTAGGGGTGTTCGGATCAGCTTATATACATATCAACTAATTCTCTAAGATCTTGGAAATACAAGTCGTGTAAGAGCTCTAGTGACTATCTTTATTAGTAATCGAGGAGAGACTCGAACTTAAGATCTAATGAGTAATACATCAAAGACTCCTATTAAACCACAAATGACCTAACATTATTTGTTAGAGTTCAGATTTTTTTTTTTTACAACAAAAAAAATCTAATGATATTATATAGTAAATTATAATTTTAAATAGAATTATAAAATTATAACATGTTTAATTATTTTTTCTTGGAAGTTTCTTCCATGCTCGACACTTACAAAATTTTATAATTCCAGAAAAATATATAATAATTTTTTAAAAATCACTAGACTCGATAGGGAATAAAATTACCCATAAGTTAACTACTTATAGATAATCGAGTGATTCGATAAAGACTTTTGAGTATATTATTTAAGAAGTCATGAGTTCGAATCTTTTTTTTATTATTAATAAAGGGTATTATTGGAGTTCTTACTTGACCGATAATTTCAGAATCTTAAAGGATTAATTAGATGTGTATAAACTGATTTGAACACTCAAAATATTAAAAAAAAATAAAAAAAAAATATCACCCTTAGGTTTAGAAATGAGAAAAGATATTTTAGGTTTAGAAATGAGAAAATGGTTTCGTTATACGGCGTAAAAAGAATAGTATATACATTTTAGGTGGCGACAAAAAACTCAAAAGTTTCGGCGACCGCGAACATCACATCCAACAACCAGGATCATAATGAACACCATCGCATTCATTTCTGTGTGAAGAATTGCGTTAAGCCGTCAGTATTAATATATAAATATAGAGAATATATAAAAATCTATGAACAAGTGTCCATAAATAATACTATGAAAGTGAAATCGGATTACTGTTCTTCATTCAATAGCTGTAGAGTATAAATAAAGATATTAATTAATTAAATATTTTTTGTTTGTCGTTGTTCCAGAATTTGAAGCAGATTATCCCCTTGTCCTGATGCTTTTCAAAAGAATATTTTTTGAAGCCTGGGTTTACGGTTCTCTTTTCTTCGTCTGACTTCACGTTGCTTTTTCCGGGTACAAAAGAGAGAAAGAAGAAGAATAAATAATTTATTTTTTTATATTAATAGTAGAATTACATTCGAACATATATATATATATATATATATATATATAAGCTTAATATTTATATTATAAAGATTGAAAAAAAAAAAAAAAGGTGGGGAAAATACCAGCTGGGCAGCTCTTTTCATTGTTCCAATAAGGAAATAGTGTGGGGGCGAATAAAAATTTACATCATTATTAATCATTATAAATTGAGACAAAAAGAATCATTATATTAAATGGATTAGCACACGTGCTTTGATTATAAGCTCTATACTATTGAATTTTTTTTTTTTTATTTCTTTTGGGAGTGCAGGTATAGTGGAATCCAACAACTCTAACTAGATTCAAATTTATAATTTTTAATATAATTAAAATATTTTGATTATGTTTCACTCTACCTTATAACTATTAATTAATTAACTAATTAACAAATCTTTATAATGTGAAAAATCAAATGCTAACTTATCATATGGTCAAAATCAAATCTTCTTGTATATACGGAGAGAGATTGGAGATGG